TACGTGTCTATGATTCCTCAGAGATCATCGTTGGCGAAATACCAGCCCGGTCTAATTTGAATGATACAGTAGAATTTACCGGTATGTAATGCCTTTGGCCATGGTTGAAACTCTCAAAGCAAGAATTTTATAGTCGATGCTGGTCGAGCAGGATTTGGAAATCTTGAAATGGCAATCAAGGATGCTGATGGTGTCATCATCCCTTCACATGTTGCCCAGCTAGAAAGTGGCACGGCTAAATTCCTTGTGACGTTTACCCCAACATCTCGAGGGCAGCACACTGTTAACATAACCTTCAATAAGGAGGTGCTCAAAAGTATGTCAGGAAGTTCAGAAGAAAAATTCAAAAAATCTGGTTTTGAAGTGAGGTAACCCTCATTACAGACTCACCCTTCGAAGTGCTCATAACCGATCCTCCCGCACCGCTTGCGGAAACAACGACCGAAGCAGCTTCTGCCTCACCTTCTCTATCCAAAAAGGATACGAAAAAGGAGAAGGAAGATAAGAAAAAGGAGGAGAAGGAACGTGCTAAGCGCGAGAAAGAGGAGAAGGCAGCTACGTTGAAAAAAGACAAGAAGGTGCCTTAGAAAATCTATTGCCAGCCTCTCACCTTCAAAGCCATTAGCATTCTTTCCTAAAAAAATTTTCCAGAGCAAGCATAAGACGGTTTCTAAGACTTCAGTGACAAAGATTCCGTCACTTTCACGAGTTGGCCAACCATCAAGCATTATCGTAGAAGTAGCTGGGCACGATCAACTTGAAATCACCATTACTGGTACGGCGTTGACCCTCCAAATTCAATAGCTATTTATGTAGTTAAGAAGCATTTTATTGCTTTTGAATGTGTCTTTGTTTGGTGTCGCTTATTGTCTTTAATGTTTTCGTTTCAGTTTTGTTAATTATTCGTGTTAAAATGAGTCAAGTAAGTTCCTCTTATGTCCATTTTGTCTAAGTCCCTGTCCCGTGAGGAAGAGTGTGTGAGAAAAAGGGGAATATAGTCGTTTCCATGACAAATTTCTTTTTTGCAACAATTTATAGTCCCCCTTT